GCATAGGCCAACAAGTGGGACTTATTAAGGGAAATGATGAAAAATGTCCTCAAGTAAATTGCATATTACTTTCGCTGGTATCAGCCTGTGCAGATAGGAAAATGCTAGCCGCCAAAAAGGAATGTTAAATAGGCCTTCCTTATAGTCATGTATTTTAAACCCTTTAAGTTCAAGGAACTATGCACACAGAATCTGTCACAGAACCTGTCTTTGCAGAGATTCTTGAAAGCACCGAAGGGAGCGCAAGGCTGTATTTCATCACTCTACTGTGTTAACTAAGAGCGCCCCTTGTATGCACTCACCAGTCCTCTGGGCATTTCTCCTAAATATAAGTCCATAGTGCCTTTAGAGAACAGTTTATTTGCCATTGTTGAGGAATCTCTAGAGTTCCTGAAATACATTTTATGCTCCGCTGCCTTCTAAAGTGGCACTTAAACCCAAGACTGGGAGAGGGGGTCATGAAAATGCCCAAAATGTGGTTTTGGTCCTTTCCCTCCCAGTAATGTACGCTTGTTTAGAAAAAAATGCTTTATTTATCACACATAGAAGCTACATAAGTTTAGTGAAAACAACATGATAACTTCACTGTACACATTTTACGTCACACCGCAAGTTGGTCTACATTCTCTTCTCTTCTATCACCTAAATGAGCTTCAATAATTTCTGCAAACAGGGTCCTCTTCAGCAAATTGTAAGCAAGGGGCAGCAACTGGCCAATAATCTTGTGGAAATACTGCAAATGAGTATGAGAACAAGTTATAATTAATAACTATCCCCCAAGGTAGTTAGTATATATCTATATAGCTAATCTTTTTTTTTCATGTCAAAAACTTGTGGATTCCTGATTACAGAAACAACGTTTTAAGGAGTGCTAAGCTCTCATGCCCTCCAGTTCATTTACAGCCTTTCTGCAGTCGCTTCCTTCCAGAGAAACAAGCTACTTCCCTTCACTTGCAGCTATTCCAAAAGTGACTTTAGAATTCTAGGAAAGGTAAATAAAAGAATGTGATGCCGTCATACTGAAGAGGACCGTTAGAAGGGGCAGGGGGGGAAGTCTGTAACTTACATGTGACCCATAGCAGAAGAGATCTATGCCCAGTTCATATCCCATTCCGTAATCACATTCATCATTAGCAAACTGAACAAAAGTCAGCATTTCCTGGATAGGGGCGAAGGCTTTCAGTCTCTGGTCATCATTAGGAGCATCTACAATGGCTTTACAAATTCTTTTAAGACTAGCTGCAGATAAAAGGAAAGTCACATGAGAACTATAATGGAATTTATTTTCCTGTACATGCTACAGAGGTTATGGATGTAAATAATGAAGATAATGAAGAAAGCTGAATGAACATTGACTCATCTGAAATGTGGTGCTGGAGGAGAGATACCACAGAACACCAAAAAGACAAGTGAGATCTAGATCAGATCAAGCTTGAATTCTCCTCTAGAGGCTAAAATGACTAACCCAAGGCTATCGTACTTTGCTCATATCATGAGAAGAAAAGATTCACTGAAAAAGACAATAATGCTAGGAAAAGTTGATGGCAATAGGATAAGAGGAAGAGCTAACATAAGATGGATTCAATCAAAGAAAGAAGCCATGACTTTCAGTTTGCAAGGCCTGAGCAAGACAGTTACAATAGGACATTTTTGAGGTCATTAATTCATAGGGTCACCATAAGTCAGAAGGAACTTGGTGGCATGTAACACACAAGACACATGCAGAGAGGTTAGGTTCTCAAGAAATCACCACTGATGTACCCAGGTTTTGTTAATTTTGCCACACCAGACCCAAAATCCTGTAATATCTAAAAAGCTAACAATTTTATTTTTGCATCTACTTTTCGTACCACAGTAAAGTAGTTAGCATAAGGTGCCATGGTCCTGTTTGCTTTTATCAAGTGAGAGAATACTTGATAGTATAATTAGCTGTTTCACAGCTTCTTTTTAAAGATTATCATTAGTCAAATACCTATTAAAGGTAAAGGTTCCCTTGCTCGAAAGCCAGTCGAGTCCGACTCTAGGGTTGCGGTGCTCATCTCCGTTTCAAAGCTGAAGACCCAGCGCTGTCTGAAGATGTTTCCGTGGTCATGTGGCCGGCATGACTAAACACCAAGGCGCACGGAACGCTGTTACCTTCCCACCGAAGTGGTACCTATTTATCTACTTGCAATTTCTTGCTTTCGAAATGCTAGGCTGGCAGGAGCTGGAACTAGAGACGGGAGCTCACTCTGTCATGTGGCACACTCGGGTCTTGAACTGCTGGACTACTGACCTTCCACAGCCTGCAGTTCAGCGTCTTAACCACTTGAGCCACCGCAGCTCAAATACCTATTACTAACAGCAAAGTTCTAGTTTTATTCTTGTAAATTAAATGAAAACCTAGTGACACACTTGACATTTCCTTGATAAAAGATATATACTTGCAGCTTGACCAAAACAGTTCTAACAATGCAATTCTAAGCAGTCACACCCTTCTTCTTTTTTTTACCATCAAGTTGCAGTGGACTTATGGCAACCCCAGACGATTTTCAAGGCAAGAAATGTTCAGAGGTGGTTTGCCATTGCCTTCCTCTGGGTAGCAACCCTGGTATTCCTTAGCTTCCAAGATTTGATCAGATTGAGGTAGCCTAGGCTATCCAGGTCAGGGCCACACCCTTCTAATTCTAAATCCACTTAAATCAATTGGATCAGAAGGGTGTAACTCCGTTTAAGACTGCACAACTTCTGTTCTGAGGGGGGGGAAATTCCTAACGTTCGTTTACCATTTGCTTCTGGAAGCTCTCTGTACCCAACACCATTCTTATCTACAGGAACAAACAGACCAGCTCCGTGAAAAGACTTTGTCACTACCTGTGTTGAAAAAGAAAGAGGCAGACTAGTGTGATTACTATGTAATACCCTTAAGCCTCTTATACTACACCACAGCCAAAGATTAACTGAAATATTAATTCTGGATACAGAAGTTTTTCTAGAATGTTATATTAAACTAACTAACAGCCTCCATGGAAAAAGAGTAAATTGGCTGCTATCTTTTCTTAACCCAAAATGTTATTTTGAGAGAGATGGAAAATGTTCCTAACTGTTCCAAGAATTACTAGACTCACTTTTCAACTGTCATCCCTATGGAATAGAAACTGGTATTCCTGTTGTCTCCCTGCCCGACTGGCCAAGATAGCATCACGAGTAGCAAACATGTACCTTGTTATGAGTTGCATGTACCTTGCTATGATCACCATCAAGGTTGCTGTAGCAACACTTGGCTTCCTTACTTGCATTACTGAAGAGCTAGTTCTACCATCTTCTCTTTGGCCTGTTTTTGCTGCAACCAATATATTTTGACCTACAGAAAAACTTATAATTTTCTACCTGAATCACAATGGATCCTATTCATAAATCCAGATTTGGTCTTCTATATAAGATTTATAGTACCTTTTCCTGTGTCCTCAAACCTAGGGTTTCTGTTCAACTTCTTCCATCTCCAAAATATAAAACTACAGCCTCTCTACCTTTAAGGCAATTTTATACCTGAAAGTTATTTTTTTAATTTAACAACAAATGATCTGATAAAACTTATAATTTTCTACCTGAATCACAATGGATCCTATTCATAAATCCAGATATATAAGATTTATAGTACCTTTTTCTGTGTCCTCAAAACTAGGGTTTCTGTTCTACTCCAACTTCTACCATCTCCAAAATATAAAACTACAGCCACTCTACGTTTAAGGCAATTTTATACCTGAAAGTTAATTTTTTAATTTAACAACAAATGATCTGATGCCACTAAGAAAATGCTCCTCTGTTCTGAATTGGTCTCTTGTAGCTCCTAAAATAGACAGGGTCAAGCTTCACTTCATACCCATTTTCAACAAATGATCAAACTGTCTGATTTTTTTTTACAGGACATTTTCCCTTCCTAAAATGCGATTGTGCACTTGATTGTGATTTTGTAAAATCTGATGTCACAAAAATGCTGCATTAGAACTAGTTGAACTCTTACGCGTGGGAGTTGGGTGGGTAATAAATTGTAGGTTACAGTATGAGAATTTTCCCCACTACTTTAGTGAATATGAAAATAAATCGTCATACTTTCTTATCTCTCTGTTTCATCATCACTGTTTTTTGCTCCAGCGAATAACCCATTCTTTTGGCTGTTTCAGTTAATTTTTCATCTATTGCTTTCAAAATGCCACTTTTCTTTTTATCTGGCAATTCCTTAAGCTTTCTGGACAAAAATAATCTGAAATAAAAGAAAACTCATTACATTGCAGGCCATCTTTCTCTAAAATTATGAAATCGTAAATTTTTGTTCTTGTAAAGAATTCAATCTCATTGCAGCAAATCAACATAAACTATGATGACATTTATTATGAGGCTAAGTTAAGATGCAAAAATATCCAGAATTTACTTTGGAGCACTTTTTCAAATAATAAAAACCCCTATGCCAATCCAATTCATCTGAAAATAATTCAACCGCATCAACTAGGTACTTGGGAATTTTTGTCAGTTCTTGGAAGCTGCCCTGAGCCTGCTTGGCGGGGTAAAATTGAAATAAATAAATAAATATTTTTTTTAAAAAATTACAGGGAAAAAACCCATGGGATCCAATGGCATATACCATGCTAACAAAGCTGAACAGTAAAACAGCTGTACCAAAACATTTGGGATGCAAGAGAAATATCCAGAGTAAATAAAAAAGATAAAAGAAATTCTGATGACAAAACTAGGAGTGGAGCAGTCCCCCAATGATGTCCCCCTCTGCTGAAATGTCTGTGCATGTGCAAATTTGATCAGCACAGAGGCCATTTCCCCCCCAAACCAAATCACATTCTCTAGCTGCTTTCCCATACGTGGGAGAAAAGATACAGCATCTGCACATCTTTTCCCCTAAAAGAAGATAAGCAGCTGAAGAAGTCATGGTTTTGAGCCAAACAGCAGACTTCAGGCAGAAAGCTTAAATTGCTCCTCAGCTTTGCAGCCCCTCTGTTATATTTCAGTCTTTTAAAAAAAACAGTAAAATCTTGTTGGAAAACTTTCCCTGCCTTGTTTGATTTGGTCCAGAAAATGGCTTACATCCTACAGGACATTTCTGCAGGAGAAGGAATATGCACTGATGGAATGCAACTTCCTTGTTTCCTTCCTCCTGTGGAAGCCTGGAATGCCCCCTGAAATCCTGTGCCCGGGGCCCTCGAGAAAGTTGCATCCCACAAGTGCATTTCCATCCCTGCCTGTGGAAATACTCCACGAGATCTATGCCTGTATTTTTGTTGTTGTTTGAAAGCTTAGGGTGAAAATATTAAACCTTACTTTACAGCAGCAAATATATTGTCACCAACTTGAGAAATTGTGCAGCCTTTCTTGGCTTCGTTTTCTCCAAGCCACACTGGCAATTCATCTGGCATGTCCCTATTAAAAACAATATGCATAGAGAAAGTTCAGAAATGTATCAGCTGAACCTACCTTAACTTATTACATCAGCATTTGTAAGGCGTAGAGTCGGCTTGATCCCATGACTCCTTTCTGGTAAGTGAAGAGTCTTCCAACAGAGTCATGGAATCCCATCCGGCACTTTTTTCTGTCAAAAACAGTATAACTGAACAAGTGACAGTAGATCCCACATTTCTCTGAGACTGAAATGTCTCTAATTATGTAGTAGAAAAGAACAAGAGTCCAGTAGCATCTTAAAGACTAACAAAACGTATGGCAGGATATGACCTTTTGTGAGTCACAGAGCGGCTACTGGACTCTTGTTATTTTTACTGCTACAGACAAACACGGCTACCCATCTTGATCTAATGATACAATTAGAAATTCTGTGTTTTTTAAACTCTGCTTTTAGGTTCAGGAAAACCATGATCCAGGCAAGACTGAAAGACTAAAATGAACTTAACCAACTATCTGTACACTAATAGCCAAAGGTCCCCAGTGTGTGCCAATACTTATTTCTGCAAATTGGGGGCACATGGAGGCTCAACAGAAATTCCTGCACACTTGAGGCATTACTTAGGTGTGCTGAAAAATCTGATGTTTTAAAATATATATGGGGATACTTAAATCCCCAAAAAACTGAAACTGCGTTCCCGTGCATGCGTGGAGAATGGACTTGCCGTTTGGAACTGTGGCGGAGCTTGCTGCTGGCAGCTGCAGGGGAGCCTTGGCAGGCGGGCCCCCACGAGTATCACGGATCTCACTTCTTGTACAAATTATAATATTTTGAATAGGAAACAGAGTATAGCTGAAGCTTATTTTCTTAGAGACTCAGTTCTTAACTGTGAGAGGTTTGCTTGTACAGAATAACTCCAAAATGTTAATTCAAACAGAAACAAACTACTGTATAAGCTATCCATGGTGTAAAACAATTTTACCAACTGGCAATACTTCATATTTCTACAATAAAAGAAGCTTAGGAAATCCTGACATTTATCTTCTTATGTGTTTTCATACTTACAGAATAATTACAACATGCCAAGAATAAAAATCCCATATTTTTTTCTCTTAGTAGCTTGCTGTAAATAATACATGGAATTAGAAAGTAGACAAATCAGGAAAGTTACTTCTAATAACAAACTTGTTTGGCAATTCCATGTCAGACTTTGGTATGGCATATGAGGATCTCCACTTCTATGGCATGTACATTTTGGTCAGAGTGAGGTTGGTGACAGATTACAGAGTAAATATTTGGCACAACAGGACTCTTTTTGATGTAACATATTTTAACATACTTTTATCTGTTACATTATACAATTTTGTGGAATTCTTGTCACATGATCAATTGGATTTGCATATATAAGAAAGTAGACTATGATAGCATAGTCATAAGCAATGCTCCCTCTAAGCTGTGGGATCTTGTGAGCAGAAATTCTACTTCGTGAGCTACTGGCATAAAAGTTGTGAGGGAGCAATTTGGCTACTACATTAATTAGTCTGCTCTGGAGGCTTCCTTCCTGAGCTAAGACAAAAATGTGTGAGCCGGAGGCTAAAAAACGGTGAGCTAGCTCACACCTATTCAGCTTAGAGGGAACACGTCAGACTAAGACAGACGAGAACTGGGTTCATATTTGTTCTCAGCCATGGAAAAAAATGGGTGACTTTGAGCCAGTCAAAATCCTTCTCTCATCCTAACCTATCTCACAAAGTTGCTGTAGGAATAATATAGGGAAGAGAGACTTCCCTAAGATCCTTTGAAAAGGGGTAGAATAAAAATGTGATAAATAATACATTTTGGTATCATATTTTCACAACAGGATTACTTCAAAAAATGTCACGACTGATAGAGGAATTAGTTTTCAGCCTCACATTTATTTCAAAAAGAAATACTTTAAAAGTAAGAATCATCAGTTTGCTGTATGACAGGATTACAAAGGCAAGAAAGCAAGAAAATCTCTCTTCCAAATTACTTTCTCACCTAAAATATCCCACATGATATTGCATTTTTCTGTCTCCAGTAAGGACAGTCTGGAATTCAGGAGGATCATAAAAAAATCTCCAGTGGAGGTTGAAGTTCACATCTCCTGATTTGTTTGCCTTTTTGTGTTTTCCAGCAAGAATATCATATGGTCCAACTAGCTGAAGTCCGATGCTTGACTGAAGTGCATCTATAAAAACAAGTAAACGAAACATATTGTTTCTTGATGAAAAAGATTTGAGCAAAAAACCATTCCCAACTGGATTTTTAAAATCTTCAATAAAGAAACTGTCTGTCTCTACTGCTTTATAAACTCAGTTTATTTCTGTTTTCTCAATCCATTATCAGTGTTATGTATATCTGTAAAAAATATTAGGGATACATGAATGATATTCTCTAGACCCCTGCCTCAATTATTAAGTGCTTCGACAAAAAGATTACTTAAAAGAGCAAGTAATCATTAGAACACTCCAGTGGAAGGAACAATATTGTATCTACAGCATGTGTTGCATACACATCTTCCATTCTTACAATTTCTTCTTACCACAAACCATGTACTCTGAAAAAGTCATGAAAAATTCCCTGATTCTCCCATGTGTTAAAAGAGAGAGTGTGCAGACTGGAGAAAGAAAGAAAAATCAGCCACACTTGTGAGACAAGATTTGGATTTTAAATTCAAACAATGGGAAATATTTACTGCTTAACATTACTTATTAGGCTTGGTATAAGATTAAAGTTTCCAGTTTCTAAAACCCACCACATGGCTTGTCAGGATCCAGCTCCTCACAAAACTTCCAGAAATGATAGAAATCTTCAGGCATTTTGAGCCGATAACAAGTCTCCACTTCATGGTACAGATGACTGGAGATGTCTGTTTCACTAGACCGTCTTTTCTTTACATTCCTAGTTTTTTCACACTACCAACAAAAAAACAAATCAATTGTGTTATTCTAATTCCATGCCTGGGAAGCTGAAAACTCGTCCCTAAGTACTTTAAACGTATGAGGTATCTACCGTGGAGGATGGAGGGGCAAAATGAAAAGAGGGAAATGGAACAAAAACGAATTACTCTAAATATTTATTAGTCAGGAGTTTCTGCAGAAAGATATTTTGTACTAAGACACACACAGTAAAAATTACATGGCACATCCCAATGCCCTTGATTCCTAAGGTTGTGGTGGTGGGGGCGGCGGCTTGAAAGGCAGCTTCATATTTTATCTCTGTCTACCCTCTGTTCCAAAAGTGTGCTCTTACTCAGAGAATTTAGCAGAAGCTCAATATTAACTACTTCTAATCGGAAATTAACTTAAAAGCAGTAACAATACAAATATGAAGTCAAGACCGATCTCCCACAAAATTTATCCACCCAAGTCGCCAGGAAGAAAAGCTTGAGCTCAGAACGAATAAGAGAAAACACTCTGTACATGCTCAAAAGCATGTTCTTTATTACGGCACAACATCCGATGCTGAGCCTAGGAAAAACTAGGCACAGGAGGAACATACAGGGCTCTCTGAGGTCCATCCTAGATCAAACCTTCCACAAAGAAAGGGAGCCGTGGGTACCTGCTCAAGCCCCTGCACAGCCGCGCGGGATCTCCGCTTCCCACCTCCAGTCATTTTGCTTCCCGCCGCCACCTCCGCTGGAACCTCAACATTCCGCCTACAGCGGTGCCAAGAGCCTCCAAGGCCGCGTGACGTCATCGCGTAAAAAGACAACCATAGAGTCGGAACGTAGCTTCCGTTGCCTCGTTGCTATGGTGAAAAGCGAGCGGCACCGCCTCTTATTTGTATCACCGCCTCTTTCTTCGCGGCTGTGGATGTCGTCCGTAGTCTTTTGGGGGGGTGGGGGGGGAGTTTAGGGCACTTCGGTACGACCTAAGGCGGTCGTTCGCTCAGAGGAGCTACGCCCCACGTAGTAGGCCGAGTAACGGGCTGTTTTTTTCATTGTACAAATTAAGCTCTTGTCTGAAGTCGCCTCAATTTTCTCATGGGGAGTGTAAGTGGCATCCCTTTTCCGCGCCACCCATTTTAAGGTCTCGGCAAAACAGCAACAACAACAAAAAACCAACAACCACCCCCTCATGCCAGGTATAGCGTATGCTACGAAAATATTGTAAAGTTTTCAGGGTGGACCCAGAGCCCTCGAGTAACACTTCGCATGTTTCACAAGATGGCGGCACCAACCTTTTCTATAGGTAAGGAAGAGAGTAAGAGCCCAGTAGCACCTTAAAGACAGGTCTAAGGACTAACAAAATGAGTGGTAGGGTATGAGCTTTCGTGAGTGAGTGGAGGAACCTGGCCGTTGGCATT